AATATTTAGCAAGAGAATATGAGAACTTTTACCCCCCAAGGAGAGCAAAATAACCATGAATCACGGAAATATCCTCCATTAAATGTAATGATTCATCAGCTTCATTCTGTAAACCACCAGAAGAAAATTATTACTGATAAAAAACAACAATGAGGTCTAAATTAAGGAAATTGGTACAGTGCACTTCAGCCAAGGGAGTGATTACCCTGGAGATAAATGGATAAAGGTGTCAGCAAACAAGGCAGCAAACATCTTCAGGCCTGTGATGGTGGTACAATAAAAACCCAAAGTAAGCCGGGCATGGTAGCACACGCCTTTAATCCCAGCACTCAGGAGGCAGAGGCCAGTGGATCTCTGTGAGTTCAAGGCCAGCCTGGTCTACATAGTGAGTTCCAGGACAGCTGGGGCTACAGGGAGACCCTATCTCAAAAAGACCAAATAAAACCAAAAAATAAACAACAACAAAAAAAAAACACAGAAAAACAAAAAATCCAAAGCAAAGTAATACAATACTTGAATAAAATATAAAAATAACAATTTTCTGTATTGTTCAATCAATATTAATCCCCCTTGTTCAGCGATTTCTTATGTGTTTGAATAATCAGTCTTAGGATCTGAAAAATTCTATCTTCCTTTTTCCTTAAATAATTCAGTTTCTCTAAACAATGCGTTCCATTTTGTTCCAATGTGAATTTTCCCAAGACTTGTCCACAGAAGCTGATAGAGCCTCCAATATAACACCGTCACAGGGTATGCTCTCTTCTCCACAGGAATACAACAACCCAAGTCCATCTTCTGTAGAACTGGGGATTGGTTCGTGTAATTTTCAGCCACCATATAAGAAATATTTTGAGATTGTATGTGATGCATTTATTAAATTAATCTTGAAAGATTAAACATTTGAGGACAGACTAGAGAGATGACTTTGCTTATGAACCTACAGCAATATTGTTAGCATGCACAAGACCTGTTAAAACTGAAGCAGAAAAAAAAAAACAGCAGACAACTATGGAAATGGGCAGCAGTCCCCAGTCTTAACCAAGGAACTACTGGTAGCTGATCACTGCTGGGTGAAGAAGAGATGATCTTCTTAAAGGAAGAGACTCTAGATAGTTTCACTAGACCTCAGTGGATGAACTTGCAATGAGGAATGTCTCAGACACTAACTTGACATGATGGGCCTTAACACAAAACACAGAATGCATGAAATCCAGTGGGGTGAGGGCACTGTGGGAGGATGCCATTGAGATGGTCTGTATGAAATACAAAAGAACTCAACAAAATTGACAAAATAGAGGGAATATATACTATCATAAGAAGAAAACGAAATGTATTTGGAAAGAAGCTCATTATGCATGAAAAGTAAAAGGCTACAAGTTCAGAATGTCAAAGATTTTGAGAAGGAAAGGACATACAGCCCTTGCCCTTGGGAACATTTACCTGAGCACAAGCCATCGCTCTTTCCTTGGTGAGTTTCCTTTGGAGGCAGTTTTACCTATACAAAACCCAACCTTCTTTGGAAAAAATTCTTTTAAGTTCACAGAAAATCCATTGAACCTGCCAATATAACAGGAGGAAGAATCACTTCAGAAAACAAAATTAGGTCAAATTCACTGTCTGCTGTCACAGCAGATACGCAGGATGAAACCACAGTATAAGTTTCTGCTTTCCTGGCATCTAGTCACCTGCCCTGCCAACCAGGTTGATGATTTCTATGGTATTCATAGGAATAGGGCTGCACTGACCTCCTTACCCAGGCAAGGCAGACCAGCAGATTTTTCATCCTATGAAATAGGGAAGTTGAACTCGGCTATCAGCCAGAATGACCTGTGTCGACATCAGCCTCACCTTTTCCTGGGACTGTTAACTGCAATAGCTCTAATGCTTACACGTACCTTGTGGTGGAGGCACAAATACAAGTACTTCTTTAAATACCTGAATTTCAGGGTTAGTTGGTTTTGAATTTTAGAGATTAATTTTCTGAGGAAAACAGCATGTTTTAGGTATTTATGGGGTATCTGGCAACTTTTTATGTTTTTTATATATATAATAATATCCACATGTTACACTTTTACCAAACAGTATGGTAAAAAAGATCCAAACTCATCTTTTCTAACAATTTTAAGATATAAAAGGCATTGTAGGACTATGTTCAACTTGTGGCACACAACTTTCAAAATTAGTTATCTCATAAGAAATAGTATTGCTTCTGTTGATTGCCCATATATCCTCATTCACTGTAACCACTATTATATCTTCAGCCTCTGTCATCTATCATTTATTCACAATTTTTCTTATGGGTGAGATGCAGTGCTTGTGTGCTTCAACTTCCTTTACCTAACATATTGGACAGCAGATCAGTCGTGGTGCCACACATGAGAAGATTCAATACTTTTCTATGATGAACTTGTTCTTTATTTTTCAGAAATGGATTTTATTAAATCTCGTATGTCAATGGATATTTTAGTTGACTCAGTGTTTTGTAATAGTGCTGCAATCATTAGGGAGTGTATATATCTCTAGCCCATATTTAATTCCTTTCTTTTCAGTATATATCCAGGACTGCAATTGCACCATTAGAGAGGAATTCTTGTTCTCATATTTAAGAAGCATCCAAGTACCTGTGCATGATGCTGTTCCAATACTCATGTCCACTGACTATGATTATGTCAAAAGACAGAAAACATCTTCAAGAAAAGTCAACATACCTTCACAATCAACCTCATCAAAAGGCTAGAGATGTATGGAAAGTTCTTTTAAATCGTATAAGCTTTATAACAAGCATTTCCTCCACATCCAACAAGACAAGTGTGTCTACTCACTCCTCTTCTAGTCAACAGAGTGCTGGAAGTCTTTCCACAGCTATAAGAAAATAAAACACACAAAAGTAAAAGGAGTTAAAGTATCTGTTTACAGACGACATGATTCTGCACCTCAGAGACCCTAAAGAGTCCACCTGAAACTCTTAGAGCTGACAAACACTTTCAGCAATGTGTCAGGGGATAGGAGATTAACATATAGAAATCCATAGCCTTTGTGTATACCAATGCAAGCATATGGAAAAAGAAATCAAATAATCAATCCTATTCACGGGAGCTACAAAGAAATATAAAGTACCTAAGAATAAACCTAGGATACAACTGAACTATACGTTGAAAACATTAAGACACCCAGGAAAGAAATTAAAGAATACACCAAACGATGAGATCTTCCACACTCAAAGACTGGAAGAATTAATCTTGTGAAACTAGCCATCCTAAGAAAACCAATGTACAGATTCGATGCAATCCCAATGAAATGCCACTGCGTTCTTCATAAATACACAAAAAGCATCTTAAAAATTAATTTCATAGAAGGAAAAAAAAACACCCAAACCAAATCTGCACAAAAACAGTATGATAGGAGTTAGTAGAATGCCTGAATTTAAGTTCTGTACTTCAGACCTCAGTAATATCCGGCGCGGTGACGCCAGCCTTTAACCCCAAACACTTGGGAGGCAGAGGCTAGCGGATCTCTGTGAGTTCAAGGCCAACCTGGTCTACATAGTGAGTTCCAGTACAGCTGGGGCTACAGGGAGACCCTGTCCCAAAAACGCCAAAAAAATTTTTTTAATAATAAAATAAAATAAATAAAAACAGGATACTTCTGGTATAAAACAGAGATCCACAGGCCGACGGAACAGAATAAAGGACCTAGATACACTTTCAAATACAGACACCTCACTGCCAGCGATGCCAGAAACTTACAAAGGTCAGAGGAAAAGCACCTTTAACACCCGTAGTTGGGAAACGGCGTCCGCAAGGAGTGAATCTCGTCCCCAACGGCTCAGCAGTTCCCGGAGCTCTGCGTGCTCGTGGCCCTCCCCGCGCAGCCTCTTCCCAACAGCTGGAAAGACGCAGGAAGGGCCGAGACCACCGCGGGGTGGCGGCCGGGCGGGACCGGACAGGACTGGAGCAGACCGGCCGGGGGTCTGTGAGGCTGCTGAGGGGGTGGTGCCGCTCAGCGCCAGCAGCAGCACCTGGGCAGAGCCCCGTCAGCATCCCCTCCCCCTCACTCACCTGCTCCACGGGGCCACACTGGCCGAGATATGGCGGCCCAGGAGGAAGCGCAGCTCAGCCCGAAAAGGCGCGGACAGCACCCGGCGGGGGCGGCGCGTCTTCCCCAACTCTAGGAGCCACGGGGACCTGAGGGACAAGCTGAAGTGCAGCCTGAGCGGACGCCTGACAGGACCTGTGTCCAGTCCCCTCAGAAGGCGCCAAGTCACCCAGGGCCGGAAGTAGCACTGCCCAGGGGGCTGACAAACTAGTCCTTACCGCGGGGTGGCGGCCGGGCGGGACCGGACAGGACTGGAGCAGCGGGGGGGGGGGTCTGTGAGGCTGCTGAGGGGGTGGGATTAAGTCGTCCTCCAGGGAGAGGGCGGAGCGGCATTGGCGCGAGAGAGACGCCCTGGCCCGGGAGGGGGCGGGACCAGGAAGGAGCTGGGCCAGGACAGGGGAGGGGCCCCCAATGGACTCCTGGGCGGGGACGGTCGACAGCGTAGCCAGCCAGCCTGTGAGGCCTGGAGGACGGCAGGGCCTGTGGGAAATCTTGGCCTGAGGAGACCCTTAGGCAAGACGGGTCGGCGGGCCTGAGGCTGGGTGAGGCTGCTGAGGCCCACGGGATGCCCAGACCGCCCCCTGCCGGTCCGCGGGCCACTGCAGGGCAGTGCTGCACAGGCTGCGTCGCCCTCTGCTGGTAGCACAGGGTTAAAGGTGGAGTCCTGGGGGGCTGATGAGGTTGTAGAGCAGAGATGACGCAGCCGGATTGCTGAGGCCCAGGGAAGGGGGCGGGGACACGACGAGTCCTCTCTGTGGGATCTGAGGTTGGAGAAGGGGAGGAGCGCCACAGAATCCCTGAAATACCACACTAGGCTTCTGCTCTAACCTCATTCTTCCCTCACCACGTCCAGGATGCGCTGACGCCAAACACCTACCAAGTGATGGCATCCAAGGATGACATAAGCCGCAGTTTGTCATCACCGGAGTTTAGTATCCTCCAGGGGAAGCGTGAGCAAATGGGGTAAGAACTAGGGTAGAAGGAAAAGAGCAAAGTGCCTGAGGGAACTGTAGGGAGGATAGCCTCACTCAGCCTGGGTGGAGGAGAGTTCAGGACTTGAACATGAAAGCCAATGAACTCACTTTAGGGCAGCTGAAGTAGCTTCACTGGGAGCTTGGTACCCTGCAAGAAGCCCTGACTTGGGCGTCAGCACCACAGAATCCGAGGGCCTGTAATCCAGCACCTGAAAAGTGCGCATAAGGATCAGAGGTTCACAGTCATCCTCAGCTACATAAGAAGTTTGAGGATAGCCTAGGCTACATGAAACCTTCACACACAAAATCCTCAGGTTTAGTATGAGTACTGAAGGTGACTGGAGTGGACAGAAAAGTACACCTCGGGTTGAAATGGGGGGAAAACATTGAAGAGGCCAGTCAAGGACAGATTTCAAGTTGAGATCAAGGTGCAGGAAAAAAAATATAACTGAGCAAACCCTAAGATAGAAAAATGAAATTAAGCCAGCGTGGTGGCAAATGCTTTTCATCCCAGCCTGGCAGGCAGATCTCTCTGAGTTCAAGGCCATCCTGGTCTGCATAGGGAGGTGTAGGCCAGTTGGGCTACAGGGAGATGCTCTCTGAAAAAGCCAAAAAGAGAAAAGAAAAATGAAGATGTACTAGAGAGGTAGCTGTAAGGATGGAGAGGAGAACTTGGGGTGCAATACAAAAGAAAAATCAATCTGAGGACAACTGAGTCTCACATGTGCAACTACATGAGACAGGGTGTACAAGCCATAGCTAAGTCATTTAAAATAGATAGCTGGAGCAACTTGCCAGTACATCTCCAATAGTCCTCTAGAAGAGTGTGATTGGATGCTACAAGATTAGAGGTTTTGCAGGTAAGGAAAACTGGGTAGGGAGGGTATTAGACAGAACCTTTGAATTTTATTTATATAGGTGAGTTTGTGCAAAATCCCACTGTGCACAGGCGCGTGAAGGCCAGAAGAGGGCCTCAGATCCCTTAGAGATGGAATTTCAGGTGGCTGTGAGCCACACAATCAGGATGCTGGGAACTGAATTCTGCAAGAGCACCTTGGTTTTTAACCACTGAGCCATCCATCCCTCCCACCCCTTCAAATATCTAGATGGACCATGGAGTTGTGTGTTTTCTTGATCTTGTAACAATATCATAAAATAAAATGTATCTCATACAGGAGGAAAAAAAGAAAAGAAACTGTAGGGCATTTACTTCAACATATAAATACAGATGATGATTTTCTGATTAGAACTGCAGTAGAAAAGCAAATAAGACCCCAGAATCAACTAATGGGACAGAAAAAAAAAAAAAAAAACTAAGTGATGAAGGAGACCACCGAGTTGGAGAGAATTTCAGCAGCAGCAATACTTTTCAGAGGAGATTATTGATGAAAGTATTCAAAAAATTCAATCCACAACACCAAGAATACAAGTACCTGTCTACAGAAGTTAAAAGGAGGGTCTCAAAAGCAGAAATAGAAATGTCAAGGTAACAACTTACACAGATTTCATCCTTACCTACAAGGAGAATGCAGATTAAAACTTCGTTATGATTCCATCTCACCCAACCCAGAATGGTACCATCAAGAAAGAATGCAAAAAACAGAAAGTTCTGCTGCAAATGTGGAAAAATGGGAACTATTTTTTTTACAATGTATATTTATATTGAATTTTTGTGGCACTCATATCATACAGGTAATCATATTTAGACCTCCCCTATCTGCACCCTCTCCATAGCCCTCCCACAGGACTTCATGCATTTTCTTATATATTAAAGAGTATGGATTCAAGTTTGTGCATGTGCACCCTGCGTTGTGTACCCAGCTGTCTCCTGGTGAGACTACATCCACTGGGGCCTGTTCAGCCTATCTTGCAACAGTCTCTTTCTCCATCAGAGAAGATCAGCTCTTCCTCACCCAGCAGTGATCAACTGCCAATAGATCCTTAGCTAAAGTTGAGGGCTCCTGCCCATTGAAATGGGAACAATACACTGCTGGTGACAGTATACACTAATGCAACCACTTATGAAATCAGTCTGGAGATTGCTATAAAAAAATAGAAATAAAACTACCATGATAACCAGCTACACCACTCCAAGCGTATTCCAAGACTCTGTCCTCAACCAAATGGACACCTGAGTATCTATGTTCATTGCTACTCTGGTCATAACAGCTAGGGAATGGAGTTAACCTAGATGTTCAACAACTGATGAATAAATAATGAACCTGTGGTCCATATACACAATGAATGTTATTAATCAGCCTTCATGTGAAGTGAAATTACAAATTAAGCAGGAAATGGATGGGATCGAAAAAAATGTCCCAAGTAAGTTAACCCAGGCACCAAAGCACAAATGTTTCATGTTTCCTCTCTTATGAGGATCCTAGCTTAAAATCTTCAGTGTGCTGTGTCTAACGTGGAGTACATGTGCAAACCAGGAAACAGGGAGGGGGATATGTGGGAAGGCGTTAGCCTAAGGGAGGTCAGAATGTAGAACATAGATAAAAAGGAAGTAAAGAGGGGAAATATTGTGGATGAAAAGACTTAAGCAAGGAGTGAGGCAGGGGTGAGATAGGATTCACAATAAAGGATGCCCACAGAAACCCTTTGGAAAGTGAGAAATGCCCACCAGTGCAATGGTGCCTTATCTGTTGGCGAGAATAACCAATTGCCCTCTGACTAAAGAATCACTACATGGGAGGTGGGGGTGGTAAAGTCTTGTAATGGAAGGATAGTTTTGAGGCTATCATGCATGAGATTATTTAACTGCTTTATTTCACTCTATGTTTACTGTTGGTGTATAGGAGTGTTACTCATTTATGTGTATTAATTTTATGTCGAGTTACCTTGCTGAATGTGTTTGTAAAGGTCCTTTACAAATAGAATCATAACATCTATACATAGAGATACTGTGACTTCTTCCTTTTCAAGTGTATTTCCTTTCTCTTCTTCTTATTGTTGTAGCCAAAATTTCAACGATTATACTGAACAGGAATGGAGAAAATGGATATCCTTGTCTCATTACTGATGTAAGTGAAAGTACTTTGAGTTTTCTGTATTCCATCTTGTCTGTGGCCTTGCTCTATGCTGCAATAGTATGGTGAGGTATGTCACTTGTATCCCTAGGTTCTCCATGACTTTTACCATGAGCAGATTCTAAGTTGAAAGTATTTTCTGTATCTATTCTGATGATCAAAATGTTTTGAACTTGATTCCATTTCTGTGGTGGATTATATTTGTTGATTTATAAATAATGAAACATCCCTTCATTTTTGTAATGAAAGAGATTTAATCGTGGTGGGTAATATTTTGATGTATTCTTGCATTCCGTTTTCAAGTATTTTATTGAGAATAATTATGTTTATTATGATCAACTGGCATGTCCTTTTCTCTTTTTTTCAGATCTTTGTCTCGTTTTATCATCAAGGTAATACTGGCTTCATAAAAAGAATTTGGAAGTATTCCTTCTTTATATGTCTTTTGGAATGATTTGATACATATCAGTATCAGTTCTTAGGACGGCTGGTAGAATTTTTTGCTGTACACAAGTGGTCCTAGGTTTCTTTTAGTTGGGAGAGTTTATTTACTTCTATCTTACTGGTTATTATGGGTCTATTTCAATGGTATACTTCGTCTTGGTTTTATTTTGGTAGGTTATACATAACATTACCTTTAAGATGTTACAATTTAGTGGAATACAGGTTTTTAAATTATGTTCTTATGATACTCGGAATGTCCTCATTATGTGTTATAATGTTTCCCTTTTTTAACCCCCGATTTTATTAATTTGAGTTCTCTATTTCTTTTGGTTAATTTGGCTAAAGGTTTATCAATGTTAATAATCTTTTCAAAGGACCAATTCTTCCTCTCAATGATTATTTCTATTGATTATTTTTTCCTTCTATTTCATTGATTTTAGCCCTCATTTTCGTTATCATGTCCCATCTAGTCTTTCTGGGTGCTGTTCTTGTTTTCTGAGGCCTTCAGGTGAATCATTCAATGGCTGATATGTGATTTCTCCAGTTTGGGGATGTAAGCACTTAGTACTGTGAACATTCCATTTAGGATTACCATCATTTCATCCCATAGATTTGGGTATGGTGTGTTCTCATTATCATAGTATTCTACATATTTTTAAAAAATATTATACTTTTATTTTATGTGTGTTTTTGTCTGTATGTAAGTGTGCCACCATACCCGGCTTTAAATATCTTTTGTAGTAATGTTATTAATATTATTGCTATTTATAAAGCTAAAACTGAATAGTAAATAAACAGTTTTTAAAAAGGGAAACATAGCCAGGCGTGGTGGTGCACACCTGCAGTCCCAGCGCTGGGGAGGCAGAGGCAGGCGGATCTCTGTGAGTTCAAGGCCAGCCTGGTCTACATAATGAGTTCCAGGACAGCTGGGACTACACGGAGACCCTGCTTCAAAAAGAAAAAACAAAAAAGGGAAACATAAGGAGAAAAAAAATCTTTGATTGACCTAGTCAGGTAGATGAAAGACCTCTACAATGAAAACTCTAATGCTTTCAAGGATTTGAAGAAAATGGAAGATGGAAAGATCTCCATGTACATGGAATGGGATGGAGTATCATGAAAATTGCAATGTCACTGACTTATGTGATCAAATTCCATTCCAGAAATAGTAAAGAACATCTTAACGTTTAAGTGGAAGCACAAATAATACTGAAAGTTTAGATACTAGGAAATAAAAAAAGAAAGGAATGCTCAAGTTATCACAAAATACTACTCCAGTTTCACTGCAGAGTCATAGCACCAAAAGCAATAAAAGGTGGTAGCAAAAATGTAGACATACACCCCAGTGCAACAGTAGATCTACAAACATACCCATGAACTTTGACCGTATAATTTCCTCAAACTGCCAAAAACTTATGGTGCAAAACAGAAACCTTCTCCAGTCAATGACACTGCAATCTATATATCCACATACAGAAGAATGAAACTAAGACTGATTCTCTTCTACTGTAAAAGAGCCAGTTGAAATGAGATGTAGTCCTTAATGAATGACCAGACAGAGTGGAACAGTTCCTGTAGGTTTCAGTTTCCCAGAAACTCTAAACTCTTAGTTATGTTTCTGTTTCCTGGAACCGTGAGTCACCGTTTACTGGAAACTGGCTGTTAAGCAACTTAAGCAACATCTGACTTGCAAGATAGTGGTCAGAGTCCCTGAAATATATTGCCCCTAGAAATAGCTAGCCAAAGACATACAAACCTGTGGTCTGTTCACGGGAATAAGCCAATATGATTAAAGATCATGGTTTTTGTGGGTTTTCCCTATAAAAATGCTTGTTAACTGCAACTCGGGGCTGGACTCTGCAACTGGCATCAGGCTCGCTGTGCTAGCTAGCTGCAATAATTCGATTTTCTGCCCTAGTAAAATTCATCCAAATTAATCCGTGTCTGTCTCCATTTATTCCCAACTCCTGGACCCAACAGACAAAAGTGAAGAAAGAGAATAGTGATAATAGGGAACTCCAAAATCCATCCTTTTTTGAGGGATAAATAAATGCAAAATATTATCAAGGGAAGAAAAATGCAAAGAGAACAAAAAACCCATTTATATCTAGCAGGTCTTCAAATAATCATCCATATAACAATAGAAAGATTCACAGTCTTCTCAAACTTCCAGGAACACTGTCCAGTGTGTTAAACATCAGCAAAGATCAATATTTGAAAACTCTCTTCTTGACAAAAAGGGAATGCACATGTGCACAGCAGACAGAAAAACAAAAACCCACACACGACATGTAAAAACTGACATGTTAGCATATTCTAATTCAAACACGGGAAGGAAATTGGGAGTTCTGTGTTCTGTAAAGATTCTAAGCAACTGGTATCAAAATCCTCCTGTCATCTTATTGGCACAAATAGAAGTAATTTTAAGATAAAAAGTTTTTTTACAACTCCATAATTTATTTTAAAATCATCAAATTGTACAGTTCTAATGGATTAGTTTTGTAGGCTATAAATTATCCTGCACAAAAACTTGTGGAATCTGGTATGTGTACTTGTGCACAGGATATTGCAAATGCTTTGAGATGTTTCACTTCACTCTGCCAGACTTTCTGTGCAATGGGTGCCTGAAATGAGTCTATGAATAGGAACCAGCAGCTAAAATCAAGTAATTGCAGACAAATTAGTGCAGTACTATTTCAGTTTGTTCTAAATCATGGTAAATACAATAAAAAAAATACCTAATTATTTTGGTCACTGCTTTAAAGCACTCATAAGAACGTACTGCAACCTATAAAATACTACTTCCTCACATTTCACCTTCCTTACTGTTTTCTGTTTTCACAGCATTCAAAGCAGTAACAAACTCTGCATTGGGTGGACAGTGTTTATAAGTAATGTCATAGGAGGAGGTGGCTAGGAGGATGCTGAAGTTGGCTTCTGCTGCAGCATTCATCTGCAACCTAGTGGAGGAAGAATGGGCCATGATCTCACACACGTGGTTGTGAGGAGGGAGAAAAATATGCTTTACTGTACCCCACTGCTTATGTCAACCCTACCTTATAGGAGGCAGGAAAGCTTGGAAAACCCAGAGCAATGCAGGGCCAAAAGGTTGGCCAGGACAGTGATGAGCAATGTCAAGCCTGGTGCTCCTGCAGTCTCTAGGTTGGGTTCCAGACCCCACCGACTGCAGGGAATAGGGCGCTGGGCAGAACTTGACCTGCATAAACACTGGGACAGGACAGCAGGAAGATTTGAGACCTTAGAACTTGCTGAACTTGCTCCCCTGAGGCCTGTGGATGCTGCCACTCTCTAAGATATTCTTATTAACAATCCTCTTGGGTTGCAAGTGGTGATCCAGATCTTTAATTCCAGCACTCAGGAGGCAGAGGCAGGTGGATGTCTGTGAGATCCAGTCCAGCCTGGTCTACAAGGTGAGTTCCACATCAGCTGGGGCTACAAGGAGACCAATTTTTTAAAAAATTCCGTTGGGTTGTGGTGGCACATACCTTTAATGCCAGCCCTTGGGAGGCAGAGAATGAGGAGCTCTGTGAGATCAAGGCAAGCCTGGTCTACATAGTGATGAAACTGTGACAGTCACCCTGTAGAGACCTGAAAAGAAGCTGGAAAATCCTTTCCTTCACCATGCAAATGAGTAACACTGAAAACATTCTTCACCCTTTCCCTGTGATCTCCAAGATTAGCAGTTGAATACCTGGAGCTTTACTAACAACTTTGATTTTCAAGGTGACCAGCCAGGAATTCTGTGGTTGCCTCAGGAAATGGATCATGAAGTCTGCCAAGCCAGGAGCTCAATGTATCCTGCACCATACTGTTCTCAGCACTAGAGAACAGTCTTCCAATTTGTGAACTCAAAAATCTCTTGTCTTCCAGAAATCAATGTTAGAGGTGCTTTCAGGTAAAGCATAAAAAAAATTCCTTAAAAAAATGCACAGGAAGGGAATATGCAGAAATTTTAGGATACAATGGAAAAGTCAAATCCAGGAACTATGGCTATAGGAGAAAGAAGGCCAGGACAATGGCACAGATAAGGTTTTGAATAAAATGATGGAAGAAAATTTCAAAAACCTAGAGAAAAACGTTCTCATCTAAATACAAGAAGCCAACAGAACACCAAAGAGGCAGAACCAGAAAAGAAGCTTTCCATGACATATTATAAACACCAAAAACAGAGACTAAATGAAGGTACAGAAAGCTACAAGGTGAGAAAGGCGGGGTTGCATATAAAGGAAGACCCCTTAGATTGCATCAGATTATTCAGCAGAAACTTTTAAAGAGGAAGTAGTGCACCACTGCCAATTTCGACTGTTTAACTCCACAAAACTTTCTAGTACAATTGAAGAAGAAAAACAGTTTCCATAATACAGACTTAAAGAATACATGACCACTAATCCAGCTCCACAGAGAACACTAGAAGATGGCTAGAAACATAAGAAAAGGGATAAACACATCCAGATGGCACAGGGAAAAACTTAATTTCATAAAGTGTTTTAAAAAAAAAAAAGGCCTAAGAAAACAACATGAAATCAGTAAGAGGAATTAAGACAAATTTTAAATAACAGAATATTAATGGTCACAATTCCCCTAATCAAAAGACACAGAGTATTAGGGTTTCAAACAGCAGCAGCTCCCCCTGCTCCCCAAGAGGGTCCTATGGACTTTGGATTTTTGAAGCCTGAAAAAGGTAACTGAGCTGATAAGCACCTTGGCCTTTGAAGTCAAGGGAAGCAGACTCTTCTAAGAAGCAGCCTGCCTTTCCTCTGATCTTCAAAGACAAGATAAGCAGATTCTGCCTGTTAGTCAGAGATTTTAGGAGCCGTTTAGCACAGCAGCTTTTCCCTTATCTTAAGAGGACAAAAATGTAAACACTTCTTTACCCATATCCTGGCTGGCATATGGAACAGAGCCAGGTTTACAAGCGCTGCTTTTCCTGCTTCCCCCGGCTTGATTTTTCCCCAAACTCCCCCACCTTCTGTATCCTGAAGCCCCTGTATATAAGCCCCAGCTCACAATCCATGGGCTGACATTTTCCCTTCCCTGAGGGGAACATGTCTCGTGCGAAATAAAGTTCTATCCTGCTGAGAGTTTTATCTATGTCTCGGTGCCTCATCCTCCATTTGCTCATTCTCCACAAATTTTTACCTACCAAATGGTGCTGAAACCCGGCTCTTACTTCGAGGGACCTCGCACGGAAAACATTTGGACTTGCTTGTCATTATTGGCCGCTGCAAACACCACTGATTCGGCATTAAGGTACACTTCCCCCCCTTTCCTTTGACTACTCTTTGGCTCACCTCCATTTTTCTTTTCATCTCCTTTCCAATCAAATATGGTTACTCCCGGACCTCACTCAAGGCCACTGGACAGCACTGGTTTCCGCGACTGCTGAATTTCCCGGCACGGTTACTGTGCCTGCCCACGCCCACCTGGGAGTCTGACCTGCATCCCCATCACACTCAAATCCTTTTCCCTATCTCACCTCCCTTCCTCGCTCCTGCCATCTTTTGCCTTTCCCTGACATCTTCCTTTTCTCTCTCTCTCTGTCTCTCTCCCACCTCCCCCTCCGCTTACTGGCTACTCTGAATTTAATCAAGGCCTTTTCCATTCCCGTTTCATCTCGGCCTGCTGGCCCACTACCTCCTTTACTTGTACTTTGGCTCCATCTACTGGCTGGTCGCGCACCATGTTGCAGAACCTCTCCCACTCATTTTACTCACTCGAAAGCATACCGGTATGTGGGAGGTTCCTCCCTGTTTTTGAATACAGGACGCTGTCTTTACTGGCAAGGACATGCACAACACACGCTCATATTTCCCCTCCAAAGTGATTGCAGGACACTGCCCTGGGGCTTCGGGAATTTAACTCAAATCCGCAACAAAAAAAATCAGTATGCTTTTCTTTTGTTGCCTGGTTCTTCTCGTTCTCATTTTTATGTGACATAAGCCAAACCTTTCTTTTCCTGCTTTCTCCTCTCTCTCTCTCTCTCTCTCTCTCTCTCTCTCTCTCTTCCTTGTACGCTACACCTTCCCGCCCTGACTCCTGACTCCACCTCTGTTCCCTCAGAGCAAAAGATCCTCTGTTTCCCTATCTGCCTGCTGAAGTCTTTATCTCCTCTTTGCTCTGCACGAAATCCGTTGCTATGCAAGAGTCTCACGCCTCTTGCTTGTCTTCTTAAATCCTTAAAACAACTAAGACTGTCAGGCACAATCAGGGCGAAACGCCTAAAATTCTTGTGCACCACTTCCTGGCCTAGGTACAAACTAGATAATAAGTGGAACCTTGTGTAACTGGATAACCTAGATAAACAGTATAATTAGATAACTGGAACCTCAGTACAAACTAGATAATAACTAGAACCTTAAACCTCAATATTGTAAAAGATTTGGAAAACTTCTGCCAGCGCAATGGCAAGCAGTCTGAATCACCCTACATCCACAGGTTTCTTGATCTCCGTGCTAATCCCTCCGTGTCGCATGTTCTTCCTACCAGGTCCTCCTGGCTAAGACAGTCTCACCAGATCCTGATCCTCCAGGGGCTTCTGCCCCCTCCCTCCTCCCTACCCCTCCGATTCTGCTTCTGATACTTTCATAGCTGATAACCTGCCCCCTATTAGAACACAGCCTCAAACCCAAGGCTGAGGCACAGCCAAGTCCTCCACCTGCCCTCCCATCACTATACCCTCCCTTGCCTTCCAGCCCAGGGGCCAGCCCAACACCCCTCCCTTCTCCACCTCAAACTCCCTCTCCACAATCTTCCCCCGCCCTTCCTCAGAATTCTGAGTCTGACACTCACTCTCTTGACACCCCTTTATTCAAGAAAATCCAAAATCTGAAACACCTCCTTACCAATTACTCCCTAGTCTCCCCAAGTCTGACTTCTACCTCAAATACCCCATTTACCCCTCCCGTATCTGCTTCTACTTCAATTCCAGACCCTGCCTCAGACACCCCTGCCCCTACATCCTCTCATGGACAGGACACCCCTCCCACCTCTCCCACTTCGGCTTCCTCGCAGGACTCCCCTTCTCCTCTTCTGCCTCCTCCTAATCCCTCTCCCGTGTCAAGCCATACCCGTTAGCACACCCAGTCTCAGCTCCCTTCCCATGGCATCTTTCCCCTCAGGGAGGTGCCAGGCGTGGGCGGGGTTGTCAAAGTCCACGTACCTTTCTCTCTTGGATATCTATCTCAGCTCGAGCACACAATAGGCTCTTTTTCCACTAATCCTACTCAGTTCATACAAAACTTTAAACATATTATTCACAGCGATGATCTAACCTGGCATGATCTCTTTGTGATTTTCCAGTCTACCCTCACCCCTGATGAGAGACATAGGGTCAGGACAGCAGCACAGGAATATGGTAATATGTGGGCGTGCGGGGATGTCGGAGCGCCAGCCGCTGGCGTGGCGCCGGTCTCTCGCGCGCCGCTGGATCAGGTCCCACGCCAGCTGTCGCTGCAGTGCGGCGGGTCGCGCACACCGTGTTGCTGTGCGGGTCCCTGGCTCTCCGTGACTACCGGTGCTGGCTCCTCTGGCGGGATGCTATCAGCTGCTGAGCGAGGTTCTGTTCCAAGTTGCCAGACACTCTCTCTAAGTTCGCGATCCATCGGTCACCGGACCACAAGGGGAGGGGCAGGAATGGCAAAAGCAAGATCTTCGCGAGTGAATGTTTACGAAGGGACAGCCCCCTCCGGAGAGACTGAATCACAGGATTCAGTGATACAACTTCAGATAAGTGATACAGCTCAGCTCCAGATCTCAGTGATTTAGCTCCAGCTTTATTGGGGTGAAAACAGGATATTTATAGTGTGGAGACAGTAGCAAAAGCCTTAGTTGATAGGTGCTTTGTAGGATGCCCCATTTACATGTGGTGGTTGGCTTCTATCAGGCTGTCAGACAGTGCCTGATTATCACACAGGAAAAACCTGGCAGTTTCTAAGCCAGAGGGCATGTATCTGTGACGGGCACTTCAAAAGTAAGTCAGGAAGGAGGTCAGAAGGTGCCCTGCTGAGAAGAGTAGTCTCTCCATTTGCACCGAGCCGGCCTGCGGCTATCCAGACATGGGGAGACTGCTTCCCTAAACAGCAGAGGTCCCCAACATCTCCCCCTGTTTGATTTAAAAATGGAGAAGTGCCATCACAAGCCCTAAGGGCCAACTTGTCTGTCTCGGGAGAATTCAAAGTCTGATAATTGACCATGACCTGTTTTGTAGTGATTTTAGGAAATGGCAGTAACTGTCAGCAAAGAAATCTTATAAAACAGTGAGCAAGCATCAAAATAATATACAGTATTACCAGGGGGCCAACAAGGGATTACTAAACCGACCTAATTGTTAGGTGGGTGAAATCTTGAAAATGGATCATTACAAAGTTTTTTTGAGAGTGTTAACATCGGTTTCAACAACATTTGATTCATTTACAAAGAAACAACATTTTTCTTTTTCCCAATACTATACACGTCCCAATACTATGCACATCCCCCCATGTTCAGTAGTTATCAAGTCCAGTGCTCTTCTGTTTTGGAGCACAACCCTGGCAAGAGTTCATTTGTTGTTGGAGAGATTCCAGGCTGTCAGTCGTGGATGCCATTGTCTGGACCAGCTTGTCTCGGAAATCTCCCACCAGGTGTTGGGCTTGTACAATTGTCGCCGTAGCAACGCCTCCAGCACCCAGGGAGAATGCAAGTTCGATCCCTACCAGCAGGGGGAAGAAGATTTTTCTCTGCTGTCAGCTGTGTAGGAGGAGGGCGGCTTCTTGAGTAGGTACACCTGGGATGTAATCATTACTGGTACACAAAAGGTGGACAAAGAGAGATTAACACAGTTTTGGGTTTTTCCGATGCACCATAGGAAAAGAGGAGCGATACATGCTGTAATGGAGAGAGTAGTTAGTGAGGCATTTGTAATGAGTAGGCTTACTCGCTGAAAATGCAAATTGAATAGTTAGCCAGTTCTACTTAGATGAGAGTCAGTGAAATCTTTTTTGGTACTGCTGTCATTAGAAGTCTATTGCTGGATGCACAAAAAAAAGCAGTTAGACATTGGGGTAGGTGGTGAAGGGAAGAAAGTTAGACTTGTTTCAGGACATAGTTGATCTTATCTGGTCCTCTGTTTGTCTTTCCTATAGAATAATATTATGATAAGTTAGCACAGACTTAGCTGCAGGTACAAGCTGTGGAGAGATATGAACGTCAGCTGCGGGGTACCTAGAGAATGCACCTGAGTGGAATTCTGCTATTACTCCAATACTCCAGCGATTGTCCCATGGATCTGATTTTTTTTCTTGAAATATTTCTCTGACATAAAACTTCTAGAACATGGTATTAGGGAGAGTGGGGGCTGGCTGAAGCATTGCTGTTAAGCAGGGTAAAGACAGCCATAAGGATGACAGAGAAAGAAGCTCTGGGGGGGCATCTGCGGCGAGCAGTCTCCACTAGGTCATGGATCTCTTTCCACGTGATCCGGTGTGGCTTTGGGTGTCGTTTCCACCTCTTTCTTTTCTTTGTCTCTGACAGGGTCATGCAAGCCATCTTTTTTTTGGGTTGGGGGGGGTCAGACATTTCTGGCTGGAACCCAGATAGGCTTTGGTTGATCCTGTGGGAAAA